AAGGGACTAAAACTGAGAATTTTATTTATTTCCTGGGTCTGGATGATGCTCACATCAGTAAAACAAGAACTGGTGCTTACCTGGAGAAGGCTGTGCCACTCATCTGTAGCAAACTCACTCTCTAAACCAACAGAAGCATCATGCAACTTCAGTGGTCCAAAAGATCTTAGTCACACCTCTGTCTTTGGAGATGGTCATCTCATAGACCTCCAGATCTCACGAACTTGTGCCTTAGAACAAGACATTCCGACCCGTCATTCTTAGCTGCCCCCGTGTTTGAAAACATCACGCTGTACTTTTGCAGAGTGTTCTAATAGCCCGCCAGTGTCATCTGTTGTTTTTGAGAGAAAGAGATGACTCAGTGTGCAGTAACAGTTTCTGGGTACAGGGAGGTGTTAGGCTCATCGCTGACAGGCAGGAGATGAGAGGAAATATTACTTCTATTGGTGTTGTTTGCCTTGAGGGTGAACTGTGTTTTACTTAACCTCTTCTAAAAAGATTAGATTTCTAAAAATCAACATTACTGTGAAGCATCTTGCTGAAAATCTCTGAACTTAACCTAATGTCATGTTGCTGAAGGTCATTTTTCATAGCCAGTCAAATTACACGATAGTTCTCCTTTGATGCAAACACCAAACAGTTGGCTTACCGACTAATGACTGTAAGTCGGAACACATTCATGGATTCCAGGTCCTGCGTGGGTGCCAGAGATGTTTTTACCAAAGAATAGGAGTCTTGCTTTCTCTGTCCAGAATTCAGGCATAAAAATAGTTCATGGATTGAGCTGAAATACCATCGTACATAGCTGAGAAAATAAAATGGACTGAAAAGTGTCCAGAAGTTCCTAGTTAAAGCCCTATATAAGTGTTTAGTTTCACTGATTAAAGCCTTTTTCATGGCATGGAGCTCATTCTTGTATGAAAATTGTCACCACAGATTTCAGGTAGGCCTCTGTAAATAATGGTAAGACTAAAATTCTGACTCATCGTGTGTTTGATCGTTGAATGGCACGATGATCATTTGGATTTGGCAGCATCAGTCTGAGGATGTCTGAAGATATAATTATGTATGTTGCCCATCAAAGTGATATCTGCCATCGTTCTTTGTTGTGGCAGCTTGAGGGTGTATGTTAACTGCCACAACATGTCACAAAGTTGAGTTGTGTTTGGGCCCAGCAGTGGCATGGCTGATAGCTGGTTTCTATTCACATGTCAAACCACGGCTGTCATGGAATAACTTCAACAAGCTAGGCATGCATTTAAAATTGTATCTTCATTTAGATGCACATTTTAGATGCTAATAAAAGCTTGGTTGAGAAAACAAGCCGTATAAGGTTTTATCTGCCATGTCTTTAAGTGTATTCCTCAATCTTGAAGAAAGGTCCATTTTTGGTCCCTTTTCAGACACCATTTCCCAGAGCGATCTTTCATTTTCTTTATTTTGGAAGTTCATATCCGGTTTGTTTCATGGCTGACTCACTCCGTCTCTTGTCCTCGTCTTCTCCGTCCCATGTCGCCTCCCAAAAGTGGAGCACGATGGTTTTGTTTCACACAGAGAGAGCCCTCAATTACGTCGACCTCTCACGGCAGACACAAAGTCAATGCGGGGAAGAAAAAGAGCGAGAGACTGCAGAGAGAGTGAAATGGTTAGATAGCCAGAGAGTCAGTTTTACCCTGGGGGCAGGTGGTGGAAGGGGGGGCAGATCAGTGAAGTGGCTGATGATGTTGCAGTCAGCACCTGCTTAGTAGATTGCTTTGGAATGAAGTCATGGTGTGTGGAGAGGGTCTATTCATCAGCATGCTGCATTAAGCATGTGTAAAGATTTACTTAGTTTTGTTTCAAAACAGCATTTATTTGGTTTCCCAAGAAGTTTGTAGATAAAAGCTGAAAAGCCACTGAGCACCAAATGTGTATGGTGTATATATAACTGAAAAATGAGACACTCACAAATATACAACCAACATTAGTTCAAGACTTCAGCAGACATCAACCATAAAAAAAAGACGACACTTAAGCAGGTTAAAGTTATAGCTACATCATAATATAGTGTAAATAAGAGAAAGAAAAAGTAAACAGATACAGCCACACAGGAACCACTAAATCACTTCTAAGGGTCTACATATATATATATATATATAGTGTACGTGCAAGCACTTTATACGTGTATATATATATATATATGTATACGTATAAAGTGCTTGCACGTACACTATATGTCCAAACATCTCCACAGGCAAAGACAGTAAAATGAGTCATACCAAAGAGCTCAATTACTTTAAACATGCCACTGTTATAGGATGCGAGCCACCTTTGCCAGTTTGTGAAATTTATGTCCTGCTAGATCTGCTCTGTCAACTGTGAGCATTATTATTATGAAATGGAAGCATCTAGGGCCAACACCAGCTCAGCCGTGAGCAGTAGACCACGCAAACTCACAGAGCAGGGCCGCCGACTGCTGAAGCACCTAACACGTAAAAATTGCTTGTCCTCTGTTGCGTAACTCACTACAGAGTTCCAAACTGCCTGTGGAAGCAACATCAGCACAAAAACTGGGCATCGTGAGCTTCATGAAATGGGTTATGATGGCTGAGCAGCTGCACACAAGCCTTACATCAATAGGCGCAATGCCAAGCGTTGGCTGCAGTGTCATAAAGCACGCTGCCACTGGACTCTGGAGCAGTGGAAACGTGTTCTCTGGAGTGATGAATTATGTTTCACTATCTGGAAGTCTGATGGATTAATTTGGGCTGGTGGATGCCAGGAGAAGACTACCTACAGGAATGCTTAGTGCCAACAGTAAAGTTTGGTGGAGGAGGGATAATGGTCTGGGGCTGTTTTTCAGGGTTTGGACTCCCCTTAGTTTCATTGAAGAGTAATGTTAATGCAACAACATATGTAGACATATTTATGACAAATATATTTTCTGGCTTTCTGAGAATAGTTTCGGGAAGACCCTTTCCTGTTCCAGCATGACTATGGCCCTGTGCACAAAGCAAGGTCCATAAAGACATGGTATGATGATTTTGGTGTGTAGGAACTCCAGTGGCCTGCACAGAGCCCTGAGCTCAACCCCACTGAAGATTTTTGAAATGAATTGGACCATCGATTGCAGGCTTGTCCTTCTCGTCCAACAGCAGTGTCTGACCTCACAAACGTTCCTTTGACTGAATGGACGCAAATTACCACAGACACACTCCAGAATCCAAATTCAAAGCCTTCTCAGAAGACTGGAGCCTGTAATAGCCACAAAGGAAGGGCCAAATCTCATGGTTTAGGTGTGATGGTCAGGTGTTCACATGTGTAAAAATAAATAGCATAAAATGTAGTTACAATATTCATCTATTTCTCTGCATAATTTGTTAGCCCCATTTTGCACACAGTAACAGTGGTGAGGACCTCCAGTGGACCTCCACAGAGCAGGCATTATTTGGTGGATCATTCCCAGCACTGCGGTGACACTGATGTGACGGTGATGTGTTAGTGTGTGTTCTGCTGGGAAAAGTGGATCAGACACAGCAGTGCTGCTGGAGTGTCCACTCACTGTCCACTCTATTAGTCATGCCGACCTTCTCGATCCACCTTGCAGATGTAAAGTTAGACAGATCATCTGTTGCTGCACAGTTTGTGTTAGTCATCCTCTAGTCCTTCATCAGCGGTCAGTTTCAGATCACAGGACACTGTTGGCTGGATATTTTTGAATGGCAGGCTGTTCTCAGTCCAGAAGTTACACTGACTTGTTTAAAAACTCCAGTAACACTGCTGTGTGTGATCCACACCTTGCAGCACACACACCCACTACCATGTAAACATCACTGCAGTGCTGAGAATGATCCAGACCACCCAAACAATACCTACTCAGTGCTGGTCTGGTGAGGGTTCTGACCACTGACCGAGGGAGAGTAATCATAAATTGAATGTTTATACTGAATCAGTGATCTAACAGAACTGTAACAGCATAACAGTTCTGATGACACTGAAACAGTGTCTGGGATGCTAAAGCACACAAAGCAGCTTGAATGTAAATGCTCCCTACTAAACTGTAAAACTGAGCAGTTCTTAGTACAGTGATTTTGCATGACTTAAAATAATCAATATGTCCATATTGCAGCGTGAAACATCAGAACTATCTCTATAAGTGTAAACTGCTTAGCGAACAACAGCAATTTAGACAATATAAGGTGCTTTAATTCATGGTTGCATGATATAGTTTAAATAGCTTGTTGCAGTTTCACAGAATGAATATTACAGTTTAATGATGTTTTTAAAGTTTCATGATAATTTTCAAACGTGATGTTTTGCCATACAGCAGGGTAATAATGCACATAATTTTTGAATGTATTAGTGTATGATAGATTTTAAAGTTAAAATTTTATATGAAGTAAAAAAAATAAACAAAATGGATATTATTAAATCGGGCACGTCAAAGATGCGAGTCACGTTTGTGAAACGAATCTGTTAAATGAATCGTTATGTTTTGAACCCTGTGAGAGAGGCTTTTTCTCAAAAGTGTCAGGTAGGCAGAAGTCACAGTGTTTTTCAACGGCAGTTACAAGATGTTTCCAAAGATGTAGCGGCTTTTTTAAGATAGATGATGCAGAAGAATACAAGTTAATAGTGCAGTAGTACCTAGCTGGTGGTTTGAGTTTATTCGGGTTGATGGGTGTAATATTTATCAGAGCGCTGTCACTTTAAGCTTTGTTTAACGCTGTGAGAAGTTGTGCGCGATTCGGCTTGGCAGACGAGCAGGAGCGTATTATATATTTATTTTTTCCCCGCCCGTTTTCGGACAATTCGCGCCTCCTGCGCCCGGATTGGCTGGTGGAATACCGCGTCTGCGCGCGAGCATGACATATCGGACAATCTTGGCGCAGGCGAAGGCGGGATTTTATTAAGTGTAGCCAATCCTGGCACGAGGGGCGGGGCTTGTCGGAATACAGGCGGGAAAAAACTCAACGCTGCTCGAGCGGTTTTCGTTTAAACGCGCGGAGTGAGACGGCTGGAGCAACGGCCGTTTGGCGGCGAGTGGTTGTGTTCGTTGTTTGACAGAGCCCACCTCAGTCTAAAAACGATACGTTTGAGGTAAAAATGGACCAAAAAGTCCAGCAACATGAAACGAGAGTCGTCATCTTACCTCATTTCTGACTCCATATCCAGCCCAGAGCCGACACGGAGCGCCTCGTCATTCGGATGCTGAGAGTTTGAGTGCTGAAGTGACCGTTATGCTCGTTAGCACAGCTCGAGTGAGGCGTAGGCTGCTCTGTCACACGAAGTTGACTAGACCGTCTTCATAACTATGTGACTTTAAGATGAAAGCGACTCTTCGACCTCATAATTCTGAAACCGCCACCCCAGCGTCTCACTTCTGCCAAAAAATATTTGAAAAATCTTCGAGGCACGCTTGACAATGACGCTGGGTGCCGGAAAGACCTTACTGCTGTTGTTCGTTCAGATCTGCGTTTCCACAGGTAAGTTCTAAAGGAAAGACACTGAGACAAACAAAGTAAAATTTGATGTGTTATTGATTTGAAGCTAACTAACTGAATTCACTTGGGGAATTTCTTAAGCTGTTTATTTTCATTTTATTGCACAAACGAACAAGGAAATAGTGTAATAGCCATTATTCAGCACACTACAACCATTTTCAATGAATAACCAAACACCAACGTAGGCCGGTACAGAAACAATTGGAAGGGCGTGTGGACTCTATGCATTAACCATGCTGAAAAAAAAAAAACATAAATACTATTAAGTGTTTTTGTTGGTTCCTGATGATTTTGTAATGTGTTTTGGCTTTTTTGATGGGTTGGTAGTGTAAAAGATCCTAATGGTTTAACAGGTGATCTGTGGCTGATTCTAAGTGCTTGATGGTTTCCTATGGGATCTAAAGGTGTTCTACGGGAAACTAGAGGGCTTGGAAACATTTAGCCAATTCCCAATAAAAAGTCTTGATCCTTTTTCAGCAGGGAAGTAATTATTCATTCATTCAAGCTAAGCTAGACCTCATGAAATTTATACGTTGAAATGATTGTAAACAGGCTACTTCTCGGGAACAATGTGCGCACATGAAAGTGAGCCCTTCCTTTTGTTACTCATCCTCTAATACTGGAGCCTGAACTCAGGGGGCATTCTGCATATCCCACTATAGAACATTTGTGCCATATGGCAAGGTGTGGAAAAGGCTGCTGTGCAGAAAGCACCCAAAACAAAAGCATCTGAGTCTGTGTTTCTCCAGATGTTTCACTTGTTGCTGTCTCGTATTATGAGGCACACCTTATGCCAAATAAGAGCAACAAAGGGGAAGGTCTTTGAAAAGAACATTTTAGAGAATTAGAAGAGATAATAAAGGGCTAGAGGCACACAATCATATATTCGGGTAGGCTCAGCTGATCACTGCTGTGTCAAGCTTCTGAAAATGATTCTTTCCTCTGTTCTAACAGAGGCATAAAATGTCAAGATCTTATGTTTTTTGAAAGTGATGCAAGAACTGGTTTAATCTCTTCTAAAGGTCTTATATGTGTCATTTCAATGTTACCATATGTGTTCTCAAGTAAAGCCATGGATGTGGTCAATCTTGTTGTGGCCTCATTCACTTGGCGAGCACCAATGCTGTATCATCAGTCTCTGTAGCCCAGCGTGTCCCCCTGCTGTGCCTGGCTGGCCCTGAGCATTAGTGGAGACAGAAGCTGCTGTGCACAGCAAGGTTCTGAAATGCATGTTAAGGGATGCCTCTGACCCTTCCATTATACACACAGCAAAATCCCCAGTGTTGGATTATCACCCACAGTGCTGAATTGACACACCGCGTTCATTTAAGTCCAGCTGGACACAATGAACACTGTAAGTGTTAATGTGGATTTTGCAGTACCATTGCGGAGGTGCACGCCATGTGCTTTGTTAACACAGTGGAAGCCTCAAATATGAAAGGCACAAGGCACGCTGCGTTGCTGCCAATTACGCGTTTATATAAAAGTAGCGTGAGAAGTGAGTGTGTTCGTTCTGGAGGTGGTGTGAAACATTTCTTAAGAAACCATTTTTTGCGACAAGCTTTGAAGAAGTAAGAAATAATGGGGCCTTCACGGTCCAGTCGTTAAGAAATGGCTGTACCACCGTGGACATTTCTCTTGACAGGACAAGTCACGGTTTTGTGTATGCAGGAGGGTTTGCCTGCACTAACCACCATGTCAGAGTCTCACAAAGGTGTTTTGTGATGTTTTCTCAAAACTGCCACATTTGTTACAATACAGTGGAACGGTGGAGATTTTTTGGTCCAGTCAAAACAGTTTTAGTTGTTTGTGTTTGGTCTCACGAATTAATAATATAAAACAAACTTGCAGGGTTTTTTATTGTAGAATGAAAAGTTTTTGTTTTCAGATTTATTTTAGTATAATAGAAATATCCTTTGCCTTATCCCAGCCATTCAAATTGAAATTGTTCATTCTATCAGATTGATTTGTATAATGTAGGGAATTAATCTGATGCTGAGTGGATCATTTTGTGGTGCTGTATCTGTATTTTATATCAGTCGTGACATACAAAAAGTCTCTGTGCAGTCATTAACATAATAGGGCTTAAACAGAGAATAGACAAAACAGTGCTGCACAGTTTGTGTCGTGTGGTGGCTTTAAGTCATATAAGGGCAGATGGACCACTCTGCTTGAGTGGAGTACATAGGATAATGGCATTGTAAATGGCAAATGGCATTAGATGGACCACCTAGGACAGGCAGACCGTGTCAGAGGATAGTTACGTCTATGTTACAGTGTTATTAGCTAAGAACGGCTATAGATATCTCAGTGCCCTGACTTAAGCCTGTCCTTGTTTGACTGCTCTTTGCCACAACACGCATACACAGCTGACCTTTTCCACAAACAGTTATTTTCCGCCATGTGGTTTGATTAGGTCAGTAACAGACTTCTCCGCACGCATTCTGCTGCACTGCCTGGTGCGGGTGCGCCCATTCAAGGCTGTACTCTTGTTTATTTCTGTTTGTATGTCTAAAGCAAAAACCTCTTTGGAAACACAACCCCCTCTGGCCCTCGTTTTCACAACATATTAGCATAACAACAGCACATTCAAACCCTGAGGAGGGAGTAGGAGATGCACAGCTAATGTTTTGTTAATATTAATTACTGTAAAGCATTACATAATGGCATAGCTCGTAGTCACACACCAGATATAACTTGCTTTAATGGTATTGCCGAGGAGGCGACTCGAGCCTCTCTTTTTTTCTTGCACCAGCACTAGTCTTGCAGTCTAACAGAACTGTGCAAAAGCTTTGATCAAACAACAATTGAAGTCAGCTGCTGGCGCTTAAGGTCCCCAGATTAATCCCAGTTTGTTCTGCCCTAGTAATTCTTCCCCAGTGCTGTCAGAAGCAGAGTGTTGTCACTCATTAGTCTTAAATGAGCAAGAGAATTGGTGATGACTGGTACCTCACAGTTTATGTTCCTTCCTTCATAAAGTCCATATTTTACCAAAATCACCATTGTTTAAACTAATACCTACAGTGAGCACTGTGGGTGTTCATTTAGCGCTGGTGATCTAAATCAGTTCAATCCTTTTCTGGACAGATTAAGTCATTACATTTTTGTAACTGGTATTAATGTTTTACTGGCAGTTTATTATTATACTTACTATTAGCAATAGCATATTCATCTTAGTCTTGTATGAAAAGATGTTATGCATGTTTTAAAATCTTTGAATAAGCACCTTTCCTTAAGGAGAGAAGCAGCAATTATATAATGCACCGTTCCTCATGTTTTTTTTAAAAGAGCTGCTCCTCTTTGTCTGTGCTCTACCCATCAAGAGCATGAGCTCATCCTAGAGAAACACACGGAGTAATTATCCTGCACTTTTCCATTAGAGGATGTCACACAGTTCTCCTTTACTCAAGCATAAAGAAGTCAAGCGTTAAGCATTCAAAAGAATTTCAGGCATTCAAGAGAAAAACAAGCCATGATTTATAATCAAGGAGCTGTAGCCTACACTGTCACCATGAAATGATGCAAGAATGTCCAGTGCAAATGTGTGTATGTGTTTAATTACAAATTTACCAGTATTATCTCTTATGGGTTCTTCATGGATTACTATTTTCTTGTACTTGCTTTTTAAATAATAGTGTAGTGCAATGGACATTTTAATATTGGCACATATTTTTTCCAAACTGTCCTGAGCATTTTCATTTTCATTGATATCTTAGTCCTTGATAACCTAATATTGGACTGTGTTTGATGAAGAAAGCAGGTCTGTCATTGTAAGCTTTTTCATGACCCAATTTTCAATGCTGTTATCCTCTTCTCAATGGTGCCATGGCAACGGTCAAAACTGAATTGGCCATAGGTGCATACTTTTCCTGGAATGTAAGAATATGAGATCTCAGATACATTCTGCCTGTGTCCAAGGCATTCTCATCTGTATCCTCTCAAGGTAAAACTGACTGTGCAGTCCTAGCTGTTGTACTGTAGCATATGCAGGCATGTGAACTCTTGAAAGCCCAGAGTTTAAAGCCATGCCCCACATTGGTAGGCTTTTATCGACACCTATAGAGTCCTGCACTAATGGGTCCCGAGAGGAGGAGTGCGGTGAGTTTTCCAGGCCTTCTTCCCCGGCAGCAGCCATGCCAAACCCAGCCCTAATGCCAGCTTCCTTCAACTTCTCTCTGCTCCAGTCAGCCCCTCCGGACTCTCCGAAAGCTTAATAGATGCTGAGTCATCAGCTCCTCAGGCTCCTTCCACCACCAGCCATTAAGAGTCTACTCTAGTCCCGTTTCGTTTGATGCCGTCTGAAACCCACTGTTCTTTTTTCTTTTAACTTCAGGACAAGTGCCTGTCTGAAATATGTATAAAGTGCAATACTGACTTCAAGAGAGACAAATAAAAGCACATCTTTACATGTAGAACCCACGTCTGATTTAATCACTGCCTGTCAGGCGTTTTGAAAGTTAAAAGCTTTTCCGACAACCTAGCCTTTCATGTTGCACTTGTTTGTATCACCGGAGACTTTTCAGTATTGAATGATGGCTAGAAGAGAATGGCACAGAACACTCTGAATAGTCAGTTGATTTCCTGTAGGGTCTCGGCCACGCCTGGAGGACAGTCCGCCTCGGATTGTGGAGGACCCTTCTGATCTGATTGTGTCCAAAGGGGAACCAGCCACTCTGAACTGCAAGGCAGAGGGGCGGCCCACACCAACGGTGGAGTGGTACAAAGATGGAGAGCATGTGGAGACAGATAAAGATGACCCACGCTCGCACCGCATGCTGCTACCTAGCGGCTCGCTGTTCTTCCTGCGTATTGTCCATGGGCGCCGCAGCAAGCCAGATGAGGGTGTCTACACCTGCGTGGCCCGCAACTACCTGGGAGAGGCGGTTAGCCGGAATGCCTCGCTAGAAGTAGCCAGTAAGTCACTTTTCCATTCAATCTATATGTTTTGAAAGAGTGCAGATTTCCTGAGAGTTTAAGTAAAATGCTTTTGATATGATCCAGATTTCTTAAAGAATGTGTTAGAGTATGTCTTTGGAATTCCTTGCATGCTTTCAACCAAAGTCACCCTACATAGACCAAAGGCAGGGGTACTCCTTCTAGAGTGACTTGGGGTTAAATGCATAATGGTATTAGTCAGTAGCTGAGCTCGTAACAAGTTCTTTGAACACTTGGTTCCACATCACTTGACCCACTTAAATGAAAGCATGTTGAATCAGCATAGTTAAGTTTGCAGAACCTCAATTGTTTTCAGTCTGAAGTATATCACAAAGCAATTTAGAGAATGTCTCAGAAGAAGGGCTGGGAGATCATGTCATTTATCATATTTTTCATGTCATTGTCAGTGTTTTGGTTAGAGCTGGGCGATATGGCCAAAAATGTTATCACGATAAACAAAATTTATATTGTTCGACTCACCAAACAGTGGAACATTTCACAAATCTGTCATGGGAGAGTGGGAGAAAGTGTCTGCTGAGCTGTTTTTACCAGCTGGAAAAACATGGCTATTTTGTAATAGTCATAATTTAAGAAAGAAAACAGATTATTTTTAGCTGGTGACGAGCGCTCGGCTACCCCGCTACAAATGACATCACAGTATTCAGACACCAGCTAGCGACGACTGGATATTCAATTGTAGTAGTTTAAGGGGTGAACCGCAAAATATCAACACCAGACAAACAGAGTCCTCCTTTTAGGTACGTTTAAACTGAAAGCGGTGCTTTTGTGTCGTGTTTGATCTACAGTATCATTAATTCCCCGTGTCGTGCAGTGATGAAGCGCTGCTTTAAGTTAGCCAGCTGCTAAAAACAGCTAGCCTGGAAAGCTAGCGCTCTCCCGCTTTCCAATGCCTCACAGCTTCCTCAGTTTACTTTTGTTTACATCAGGGCTGTAACTGCATGAACCCACTTCTTTCTTTCACTTTCGTTGCTTGGGAATGCACTCATACTCAAATATGACTATCCGAGCGCTGTAACACATACTTTGTTGGCCACCTTTACCCTGTTCTTCAATGATCAGGACCCCCACAAGAGCAGGTATTAAAGTATTCAGAGAGTAAAATATTCAGAGGAGCAAGATGGACTACAGTCTGTAATTGACTGTATGACTACAAAGTGCACCTATATGTTATACGTACAGTGAGTGTAGATACAGGGAGGTGTACTTAATGAAGTGGCTGGTCAGTGTTTATGTGTCAGAAATTGGAGAAACTTTGTATGTGAGTCTGTTTGAAACAAAAAAGGATCGTATTGAGCTTGTTAATGTTAATTAAAATAGGAAAAATCTTTTAACTTCTGCAGTTTAAACAAGTAGGTTTTATGTAAGATGAAGAGGAGGCTTGTGTGGCGGAGGCTGCCTCTTCAGATGAGAACACTAGAATGTTACTGGTGCAGTGATAGATGGTTAGGTGACTCACTGTTATGTACACAATGTTTTTTTCCCAAATCTCAGTGATAGCAATGCAGAAGATGGCACATGTGAATGCATTAAAATTTATCTTGATTTATACATTTTTTAAATCGTACATGCAAGCAAAACTGCTGCACTGTGCAGCCCTGTTATAGCACTGTTTTGGCAGGTGGGGTAATGACATTGTTGATGTTTTTTGTTTTCCGTGCCTTTAAAATGAACATCTTTTATTATTATAAGGCTTTGGTGGTGTTTGCTAAATTTGAATGAAATATTAGAAAAGAGAAAAGCCATATAATAACATGCTCATTTACTACCTATATGAACCCATGCACTTCAGTGGAGAAGTATAAATGAGAGCAATCTGTCTATCTAGCTGTCCAGAGCTATAGCGAATTTATTCAGACTGCACCAGACTGTTAAAGCCGAGGTGACCGAGTTTAGCTTGTGCTCTTGTACAAAGCAGTTTTGAGTGGCTTAAACACCATCACTCCTCTGTTTACTGATAAGAGTTGACCAAAATGTTGTTCTCATTTTTGGGATGATTCATTTTTAAGCAGGGTTTCCCTTTTTTATATAGAAAACTGGATTGCTGATACAAAGTGATGCCACTTAGCTGCCATATCGATACTTTCTCTCTACAAAATCAATGGTTATCTATGGGCAAAATGTAAACATATCCCAGACAAATGAAAACATTCATGTCAGCCGTATCCTTTTTCACTGCAGTAATGTGAAAGCTGGCACTGTCAGTTAAACATCACAATTAGCATATGCTTAACAGTAGTTGGTTTAGGCCAGGGGTCGGCAACATGCAGCAACTTTACTGCCCTGTTGTGGCTTCACAGCAGAATTAAATAAAATAATCCTCCTTTGCGGTACAATAAAGCTCTGCTGATCGTTCTAGCACAGTTTTAACAATAACCTGTCTTAAACGCTGGAGTTAATTTATAACTGCTAAATCACCAACCTTTAACCCTGAAGGTTGGCCCGCAGACTGTTGGTTACCATAGCAACAACAATCTCACCTAGCTAGTAGCTAACAAAATGGCAAAGAGAAAGATTTAAGACAAACATTGATAATTTGGAGTTGAATAGACTTACTTGCATTTCTAAGCACTCAATTGGTTTAGGCTCATTTGGGGGAGGGTCTCATTACTGCTGGTTTGCTTTCACATTTATGAATTCCATCCAAACCATGAATCGATTACGTATTTCCATATGTCACTTTTCTACATGCAGGTTTGCAAAATGGTAAGCACTAGCTTCATCCGTTTGCTGCTTTTTATCATTTTGCTTGGATACAAACACTCAATGATCAGCGCTTTTTGTCCACAACAGTCCTACACATGCATATGCGACTGAAATTTCACTGCTTTGACTTATCACGATAGTTTCGTGGTGCCAGGAAAGGACTGTTGTGGACAACAAGCGCTGTACTCTGAACCTCATATCTCCAAAATAGTAACTTTACAGGAGAAGGAAAAAAGATACTTTACTTTTCATGTAATGGAACCAGACTTTTGGTCCAGGTAATTTTGGGACATTTCTTTTGGTCCAATGATCATAAAATTTACACACAGTGTAAAAGGCAACAGGCATTTTCAAATTATGTAAAAAACATATATATACAAATACATATATGTGCCTTGCATGTCTGTCGTTACAGTCGGTGCATTGGAAATAAACGTGAGCTGAACAAGTATCTAACATGGCCTGGTAGCCAAAGAAAGCTTCTCTTTCAAACATGTAGTGTGTGTGTTGTAATGGCACTCTTTTGTTAAAGCACAGAGCACACTGATATGTTGTGAGACATTATTCATGGAGTTAGGAGTAACACATCATGTTCAGATGCTCCCACATGTTATCCAATTAATCGTTAAATTCTTTAAACGATAATGTGACAGATGTTTATTTGTTTGTAACATTACAGTGTGAAATCCCAAAGTTGCGCGTTTTTTTTTAACCTGCGTGTCATGTTATCTTGGTAAGGCCCTGTTTTACTTAAACTACACATAACAAATGTTAGGGAAAATTTTGGTGCATGTTATATATTTCTGTAGGAAAAATATTGTCCAGTATATAAGATTTTTTAATCCTCAAATACCGATATTGGTATCTGTCTTAAAAATCCTATTATCGGTCGGGCTCTAGTATATTGTCAGAATGATCAAGATAAAATGTATGAGCAGTAGATGTCATTTGAGAGGATGGATACTTCAAATTCTTCAGTGTTTCACACTTCCACCCTTGATTCTGCTCATCACTACTGCGAGAATATAGGATGTAAATGTGAGTGTTTTCAAGGGCAACAATTTACTTTTGTAAAATACAACCCCCAAATTTTGTTGGTTAAATTACGCTCTCCATTTCTAGCTAAATCAGTATGTAGATCTACATTTGTCAGGTAGTGTTAGTGGATAACTTAACCTTGTTCTAGCAGGAATGGCAGTGCTATCACAATAGGAGTCCTGTGTAATTCTGTTTAAATAAGATTTACCATAACAAAAGCAAAGTAAAACTAACAATTAAATATGGAGTTCATTCAGCTAAAAATAAATTGGTAAATAAACAGTTAAATAATTATTAACTAAATTAAAAAGGGACAGCAAATGAAAAAGATACATAACGTATATTTTATATGTAAAAAGGGAGTAATATGGTGAAAAGCAAAAAGGAGATCAGAAATTAGCACTTGGAGTTTATGCCCCATGTGAAGTAGGTCACATTTATGCAATTTGGGCTGCACGAAAATTCTGATCCCGGGTACAGCCCTGCGTTTATGTAAAGTATAATGTTAGAAACCATACTAAACATGCCCTGTGTAACGATATGATTTAGTTTAATTGTGTCTTAGCTGGCAGATAGCTCACATAAACAACAGGCTGAAAGGCTCCTTCCGTGTGTATATGTGAGGCTTTAAGGTGAAATGTTGTCAGAAAGATTAGCTGAAAAACAAAGTAAATAATATGTTACATATATGTCTTACCAGCTTCAAAAGTCCTCGTTTATGTAGAGCTTCCAGAGGTAGCGTTAAGTCTAGTGTTGAGAAGCTAAAGTTAGCTTGATACTAATGTAGCATAGAGACATTATTGTAATGATAGAAATAGAATAAAACAAATACTTTCCAAAAGGAAATTACAAAAGATCAGATATTGTGTTCTGCAGAAAACCAGTGATACCGTAGTTTCTGATGCATATAAGAGGCCTTTAGAAATGGATAAAAATCAATGCAAGTTTAAATGCATTTACTTCCAGAGAGTATGCAACGCTGGAGCAGTGGCTTGAGTACTCCCTCCTCTGTCAGCACTGTAGACATAAATATCTATCTTTAAAAAAATTAAAGAAAGGGTATACCGCCCAGCCTTTCTCACAGGACTTTCATAGAGTAGCCACTGAAATAGATGAAAAGTACATTCTAACTACTCGATGTCACACCCTCCCATTTTATTACTGTGTTGTGAGCTTCTCTTATTTTTTGTAGATACTTTTGTGGTGGGTCCTTGGCC